AGACAGAGGCCAGAAATGGTTACAATGTTAAATAAGATCCTAAATGCTCCCAATTGGATACTGAAAATAATCTATTTTTCTTTACTTTTTTAAAAGGAAATTTGGTTATTGTTCTGATTTAGTTACAAATCTATCAACTTGGAAAGCAGGAAAATGTCACATAGTAATTTACAACGGTGTTGAAAAAAATCCACCTTTTTATACACAAGAATTGTACAAGGGTTTTGTTTAAAAAAAAGTATCAAAATTGTAGATCCTTCAAATCTATTTACAGATTGAGGTTAGTTACAGTTATTACATACAAAGATTTGTATCTTTTTTAAATTCTTATGTTCCTGCACATAGTGCATGATCTTGTAGTAATTGACCAGAACAACTTAAAGTACCGAATGAACTCTATTTTCAGGTTTCTGCAGATGCATTTATTCATAGGCCGCTATTTTCAATCTAGCAGAAAGAAGTGTTTATTCAGTACGTGTTATAAACAAACAGCATGGGGGATGTAATTTTGAAGCAGCAAATTATATTAGAGCCTTTGAACATGTCATTTCTTTGAGTATGACATGTAGCTCACTTCAAACATGTGGATTTATTACTCGGCATGGGATGCCTTGCAGAGTTGAATGAATGATTATGCATTCATTCTTTGACTAGAATTTTCATATCAAGCAATGCTTTTCAGTAGCAACAGTTCCCAAATTCAGCTAGAATATCAGCACATTAAGCAAGTAATATGTAAACCCACCAGTAGACTGTGACAAGTGAGCACAGTATGTGTAGCAAGGCTAGCTGCTGCTTCCCTCCAACGAATTGCATAATATGCTGCTTCTGAAATTTGGATGGTTTCATCAGTTTGCCATGTAAAATGGGGAGAAGTAACAAAAGATGTTCTGTGTGTGATTATATATAAGTGGCTCTTGGAACCATGTTAGATCAAGCTCTGCTAGAGTGAGAGAACATGAATACAAGCTTAATTTCAAGCTTCTCAAGCCCTATTCAGCAGTTTGCACTCCTTGTACAATAACAAAGACAGGCAGTGTGTTAGTCCTGCCCTTTCCATCACCATTTTTGTCGCCGTCCAGAGAAGGATCACTTTCTAAAGTGATGGAAAGTGATTTCCATGTGAGTTTGAATGCGGCTTTTTCTCCCTAAGTACAGGAGGCCTGTCCAGCAGGTGATTGGAATGATTACAGAGTGGGGCAGGACATTTAGGATTTCTCATCAGGCATTTAGCAGTATAGTTTGAGAATGCCTGAATAGGACTGTCATTTGCTCCTTGAAAAGTTTTTACAGAGGATGTTGACAGAAAACTATCCTCTTGATGATGTGTTAATGCATGCATAGAAGCACATCATTTGCATAAGATGTGTGCATATGAACCATTTTGCTTGAAGAGGCACAAGCCTAGTTGAAAGCTGTGTCTGCTGGGTTTGAGCTTCAAAGGATATGGCAAATCATCATCTGATTGCTTTGTGTGCACACAATGACAACTTGTCAATGACAATGAAATTGAACTGGCAACTCCTCTTCCTCTAATGACATTGAGCACCCCCACACAAAACCCTCCTATCACACATCTGACATAGTCTTCAGGATTCAGAAAGTGCATGCTTGAATAAAATTGGCAGTCTTTAAGGTGCCACAAGACTATAGTACAGCTGCTCCAGGGTTCATAGCGAATGTTGTTAACAGGCTGTAGCTTGAGGCTGCTATGCTTTACCTGCACTGAACCCGAGGTCAGTGCAGGTAAAGCAGCAACTATTGGGATTCTGATGCTGATAGATTTCTTAAACAAGTCTGTAAATGTGGTCTGGAAATGTAGTTATTTATACAGGAGCAGGAAGTGAGTGACCACTGGCAAAATAACTACACACCTATTGCACATTAGAAGCTCAGTGGAGCAGTGCAAGCACAGGGCTACAATGGGCAGGATCCAGCCCTAAACATTTCAAATCCCTACTCAGCCACGAAGGGATCAGCCAAACTCACTGGCTGATCTAGAGACAGTCATTCACTGTCAGCCACGCCTACCTCACATGGTTGTTGGGAGGACAGATGAAGAAGGAGCCAAGTGTGCTGCCGAAAGAAAAGGCAGGTAATGATAAGAGGTGATTTATTTCGAAGGAGAAAAATGAAGGCTTTGATTAAGTCATTCACTGAAAGCAAAGGAACTTACAAGTGGAATCATGGCCAGAGGACCTCCACCTTTGGGCAAGGCCATATATCACTAGCTTCAAAAGTTCAATAGTTTTCGAATTTGCTACCTCCAAGGATACTACTTCCCTACTGAAGAAGGATCCTCACCATGGTCCCCACATCAACCAAGCGTTCCCTGAAGAGCAACCCCCAAGCCTGACAGCCTCAAACTGTACAGCACAGAGAGGGCCAGTAGTGGGCAAGTTCCCATTCAGCAAGGCTTGTCTTGACTGATCTTTTCAATAAAGAGAGGTTCCCTAATACGCTCCCTGAGATCTTCCTGGAACAGGTTTTGTGAAGATGAGTGAATTAATTCATGCAACACAACCTGCAGCTTCACATGAACATAAGTGGGCCACACTAGCCTTTGACAGCCAAGCCTACAGCACTGTTGGGCACTCTAGAGCCAGTGAGTTTGGTTGCTTCTACACTAGAGCCTTAAAACCTGATCAGGCACTGCTTTTCTGCAATTAGCTAAAAGCTGAATTAAAAAATGGAAGAGCCAAGCAGCTAAGTTTTTTTCCTGTGGCTGAGATTCTTTTATACTAATTTTCCTGTGGCTGAGATTCTTTTGTACTAATTACAAGACAGTCCAGTGAAGCTTATAGCCTTCTCAAAGTTAATTCCAAGTTTCCAGTTTGCAAGGAAAGTTGCTCATTTTATTGCTTCCTTTTTATTGTGACTGTGGTATGACTGATGAATTGCCTCTTACGTATCCTCTCTTTATGGTCCCTAAATCATTTTATGATTTATTAGTTTCTGAATTACTGCTTTTCTTTCACTTTTAAAAATACAGTGATATTATTGTTTATTATTATAAATTATTGTGTCATGTAACAATACAAAAAATAATAGGAGTAAATGAATGAAAACCATAATTAAAGCCCTCCAAGGGAAGAGAAATTGATATTAAAGCAATTAAGAGAGGCTATTCAAGAAACAATTAATCATCTAGGGATGATCAACAGGAAGCAACAAAAGATGTAACAAATTTAATTAATGGGAACATTTTTAGTCAAAGGCACAAGCACCCTGAAAAACCTTTCCTTTTGCCTTTCCACACTGGGCAGGCTGGTGCTGAAGCTGTTTCTTTAACAATGAAATAGTGCCTTATGTTCAAAAAATACGGGAAGCCAATCCAGAAAACAGTGAACTGTTTTGCTGTGATGTTGTCACTGTCACTTGGTTTCTTAGTAAAGAGTGAGTAAACAGAACTGCTAATAACAATTACTGTTAATCTGAATTAGCTATCAAAGATTATTAGCATCTCTACTAATCTACTAATTAGCAGTGTTACTCATTTCACCCAGCTTTATTCATGAATGTATATAAAAAAACAAAAATACAAGAGGATTTTTTCTTTGGTTGGGGGAATATGGAGCAAGACTGCTGCCAATATTGCCACCCTCCACCTGCAGTCCAGTGGACACTGTCCTGTGGAATACCAGGGGCTTTGCTTCTCAACTTCCGTATTTCAGACTGCTTTCTGTAAAGCTGTTCTCACTGTGGCAACAGGTCTTTGTAATGATCACCTAATTAGCTTTAGAGAGATGTGAGAAGCAGTTTGTAAACACTGCTCTCCAACACACACACGCGGGCGCACGGAGTAGACTGTTTCACAGATTCTTTCGGTTGAAAAGTCCCAATACGGCAAACAGATCCAAAACAGGTTTATTCTGAAGTAACCTTAATGGGACTGATCCTGAAAAATATGCTAAGAATGACACACTATGCTTGCTTAACCTGTTAGGTTAATAGTTTGGGATTATGGGCACTCCCCTTGATTCAGGGGGCAATGTTCACATTGAGGTTATGCGCTTTCCACATTCACTTCACTGGAGAAAGAACTCTGAAGCATGCCTTTTTGTAAGCATAACTGTCTTCTCCATTAAAGCAAATGGGGACTTCCATGCAGAAAACCCAGCGTATGCCCATGAAGTCCTATGTCTGCAAGAATTTGCTGAAAGGGGCCATTGGATGCAGGTGCAACTGCCTGAGCCTATGAGATGCCTCATCTGCCAGGAGATAATTTGGTTTGTACATTAAGGGAGCACTTTGATTCATTGACAGTTACTGACTACTCTATTTTAACAGCTGTAATTCTTAGTGGCTTAAGAGTTCAAAGCAAATTCTCCACAAAACATCCCCTAAGAATCAATTACCCTATTCCCCATGAGCTGGGCTATTCTTTCTAAAATATATTCATTTATATTTATATTTATAAATTTATTTATTTATATGTGTAAGTGTTCATATACCTATTTGAATTCGATAGGTATATACACAGTTACTCTATGCACAGAGAGCCGAACATACAAAAAATAAATACTCTCATCCTCTAAGTATATGTACAGAACAAACCTTATATCTAGAATTTGTTAATAAATATCCTAAATGGCTCATATAAGCCTCTTTTCCTTCTTATGTTGATGGATAGCCACAAAGTATGTTTGATGTATTTACAAACGCTCTATAAATATAGTTTTTTAAAATGTAAGCTGCTGCCCCTTGGGTCTGGCTGGATGTACACACTGAGTTAGTAGCTCAGCAGCAGAGCTGTCTCCTCACAGTTACAGATGGATAGTGCAAGAAGTTAAAAAGGTGTATAAAAGATTATACATACAAAACTATCACATCCTTTGGATGTTTGCAGTTCATTACAACTTTGTGGTTACCCTTCTACAACATAAATAATGAAGGTAATGAGGAGAAGGACATAGAAGAAGGTGGATTCCATGATTCACAGCAGCTGTACTCCGTGCTCATCTCTTGATTTGGCTGTGGAACTGGAGTAGGTGTAGTCCTCATGGCAACCCATCATCTTCTAGGCTTAATGCTACACGCTGTTGAGAAAGAAAAATGTGTTAATGCTCCAGTATGTTGACAATGCTGCCTAGAAACTGTAGGGATGGACAGACAAATGATCCCATTCAGTGTTTTACTAGCTGGATAACATCTGTTACTCCCTTATGGTTTGGTGAAGAGGACCTACTGCCCATTCTGGACTGGAATAGCTCAGGTCATGCATGCCTTAGAGCAGTGGTGGCGGGCCTATGGCAGACGTGCCACAGCGGGCACACAGAGTCCTCTCTGCCGGCACATGAGCCAAGTCGCCCCAGCGTCGCCCCAGCATCCAAGTATCGGGCAACAGTGCACACAGGGTCCATGCGCATGCTCAGAAAGGAGTAGCGGTGCCAGGCGATGACGTCACGAGCCGCGACTCATTAGCCGCAACTCATCCGAACTTTTGAATGGCCATTCAGTGCACTGCCAAGGATACATATATATTTGCTTGGACTGCCTGTGAGTTGTTTTTTCTAAACTAAAACCTCAGTTTTCAGGTTTTATTGCAGTGTTGGCACTTTGTGATAAATAAGTGGGTTTTGGGTTGCAGTTTGGGCACTTCATCTCTAAAAGGTTCACCATAACTCAGTTAGGGTTAGAAAAATGAGGGGTCCTGGCATGATTTTGATGGTTGGAATGTGTTTAGAATGGACAGAAATGATGAGCTGTACAGAAAAGGTACTCAAGGAAGGCTTTTTCAAAATCACCCTCTTTTCAATGCTATTTTACCCCTGTATTAGGATTAGGGGAGTGTTTTTTCTAAACTGAACCCTCAGTTTTGAGGTGTTATTGTAGTGTTGGCACTGTGCGATAAATAAGTGGGTTTTGGGTTGCAGTTTGGGCACTTGGTCTCTAAAAGGTTCACCATCACTGGCTTAGAGGCTGGGGTCACACATCACAAGCAAACCTGCACATGGTTCTTTTACCTCAATTTGCCTGACAGACCATCCGGTTCATGGTGGTAATTCTCCCCCATCCTGATATCTCTTTCCCTCTCAGTCTTCCAGGAGGTATCCCAGGAGACACCAAGGGGAGAAATTGGTTCCTCCCTTTGAGAGGCATAAGTACAAGCTAATTTCAGCTCCTTGTGACTGTCAAACAGTCTGCTGTGCAAATAGGGCTTGCCCTGAAGCACAGTGAAGAAAACAAGGGAGCTAATCAGGCAGCTTCTCTGGGGCTGGAGGGGAGTGCCTGATCCATGCTCAGGGGGAGGGGTGCAATCAGGTGGGTGGCACTGTGCAAATGTGCTGCCCAGAAATTTTCTTTCTGTTCCCCCAACTTGTACACCTGAGTAAAGCTGCTTCCTTGCATAAGTAAGAGGAAAGAGAGCCAGCTAGGCAGTGGTGCTCTTTTGGTGGCACTGCTTTCTCACTCCTGCTTCTGGGAGAGACATCACCAACAAGAGCCTGTCTGAGTGCCTTTCTTGCAAGCAGCAGCAATAAAGGAGAGGTGTCACTCACCCCTCTCCCCCTTCCAAGAGAGGCATCCCATGCTGATGCCCACTATGCTGCTCAGCTGATTACACCCTCACACTTGGTCAAGTGAAGGGCAGCAGGGGAATCAGCTGAGTGCCATTACTGCTTTCTGCAGTAAAGCCCAGTTGATTGTCTGCTCCTGCCTCAGAGAAGCTCTTCAAGGCAAGAGGCAGGTGGAGCAAAACAGCAACTGGCAGTGCTTTCTTCCAAAGCAGCTCGCTAGTTCTGGCCTTCATACAACAATGGGTTAAGTTTTCTGAGTTCCATCAACACAACAGGTCATTATGGTATGGAGAAGCCATAGTACAGACTGTTGTTTCTGTTTGTGGTTTCCAAAGACCGAATAAATCACACTGAAACGCCATGATGGGGTTTGGGTGACATGATAGAACAATAATGGTAAAAAACCACCATGGTTTGTCATGTTGTACAAACCTGCCCAGAGTCTCACTGTAATCAGTAAACCACCTGGTACAGCAAAATATCTGGTAAAGTCAAGGGATCTTTCAGATTGTTTTACTAACCCAAATTAAATTTGAAAGTATTCATGCCGAATCTTTGCATTCATGGGAGTGCATGTTGCTTTCCATGAGACTGCTCATAAGGTACAAGGCCAGAGTCCAGCCTGTAGCGAAAGATGAAACACTAAAGTCTTAACAGTCTTGGTTGAGTCTCCTTCCATTATACATGAAGGAACTCTGCTCCTGCTCACTTCTATGATATATCCTACATATATCTATCTTAAATATTTATAACATATATATTCCTATCATACTTAACGTAGTCATATTAGAAGGTAACCTCACTCCACCTCTAAGTCATACGTAGAACTGTATCTTGAGGACATGTCTGCATTGCACATATGTTTTCATGGAGCACACATCTGATCCCTGTAATTCCCACATGTTTGGGCTTTAGCGTTTGCTATCTACTTGTCCATACAGCTGTTAGAAATTACCAGAAAAAGGACACAGATTATGTTCTCTTTGTGGCTGTCTCTCACATGAAAATGCACCTCCTTCTTCCATATTGTGAGGATAAGTTAGCTATGATTCTCATGTACACTAAAATCCTTTGACTGGGAGATGGAGGACAGATAGACTTAACTTCTATTTATATGAGCTGTCATTAGAAGATAAAGTCACACACTTACTGCTGGGTACACATGTCCGATCTGCGCTGTTCTCCCAATATGGATTTCATCTTCATCTTCCTCTTCTGTAGTCTTCCTGTATACAGGATTATCAAAGTTCATGCTCTTTGTGTTTTTCCGTTTCCAGTTTCTCCAGATGAGGTACCCTCCCATGCACAGCAAACCAATCACCACTATGCAGAGAAAAAGAACAGGAGAGAGAGGAGGGAATATTGCCTTAGGAAGGTCCTAGTTCTCCAACTGAGCCCCTGCCCACACACAGATGTCTGTGAATTCTTTATGCCAGTAAAAGGTCCACAAAACTGAAGTGAACAGAGAAATCCGTGCTCTAAGTATAATCAAATATGCTTACCAATAGGAACAATAATTCCTATAGTGGCTGCCATCACAGTTGATCCAAACCCTTGTCCATCGTTAGCATCTACAACCAGAGAAGATCAGTTTAGATCCAGACAAAAACTAATACATGGATTACAGCCATAACATTGTGATTATAGGATCCAGACTCAGTTAACACAAAATAACTTTTAATAAAAGGACAGAGGAATGACCACCCTGGCTCAAGATGTCCTTAGCACAGGAAGCTATGACATGAAGACAAGCCAAGATGATGAATTTGTGAATGAATTTATGGATCTGCATTGAGTGGCTATACTGTTAAGGTTTTCAGGAAGTTATCAGACCCGTCCCTGCTGGATACTCCTTGAAGAGGGAGGGGAGGAGGTTGAGATACCAACCAATTTAATAGATTGCTAGCCATTGTCAGAGTTCTTTAAATGTCAGTTTGTGCAGAGCCTGTATTTGTAATGCATGGAGTCCATGAAGAAGAACTCTTTATCCTGTGGCTAGAAGCTTCACTGTGATCTGCAGCCCACATGTTTTGTACTAGTGAGATAAAACCTACACTGAAAAATAACTTCTAGACCTCCAATGTAAGAAAATGGTACAAATTGTTTTCCTACAATTATGTGTGTTTGGAAGTCACATGGTAGCAGACACCTGTGTTTTCACACACACTTGGTAGAATCCATGAAAGGAGAACCAGGAAGAAGTTATTCCCCCTTTCTCTGGTAGCTCCCTGCACACCCTGAAAAGTACCCCAGTAGGTTGAAGGAGCTCCCAGAAGTAATACCAGTTGCGTAGGAGGGTGGCAGGGGGAAGGAGGGAAAAAGCCTCGTAACTGGCATAGGAATGCAGGAAACTGAACTGCCTTATACTGAGTCAGCCCATTACTCCATCTAGCCCAGTACTGTTGACACTGACTGGCAGCGGCTCTCCAGGGCTGAAGGCAGGATTTTCTTAGCCCTACCAAGCAGTGCCAGGGACAGAACACAGGCCTTTCTGCATGCAGTGCTTCTGTCTAATGGCAGACATAGATGAATACCTCAAGTCAGGAGAAAAGAAAATGGGAGGAGATGCCCGGAGAAAGGAAAATGGGAGCCTCACATCGGCAAAGAATAACAAAGAGGCATCAATTAGCTATCAGAATAACAAATATACTCTGCATCTGTGCAGGTCACTGGCTGCGTATAAAGTGTGCGGGATTCTTATTTCACATGCTTGTGGCATGCTAGAATTTGTTTCAATAGTCTCCTCATTGCATCTGCTAACAATCAGAACGGTGCTTATGCTGGACTTCGTTCAAGTGGGTCTGTTGCCCCACAGGCACCACACAGCCCTTGGCCAGAGAGAACATCTAGGGACAACAGAATCATTTTGTTGCGTCCACTACCGTAAAAAGGGACCATGCACAGTATCCAAGTATGCTTCAGTATTAACTCTAATGACATTGTGCTGGGTAAACCAAAGGCTGTACAACTTCACCAACCTTTGCTAGGTCACTGACAAAGAGTGGCTATTGAAATGCTGCCCATGACTGAGCAGGGACTAGAACCCAGATCGCTTGAGTCCCAGTCCTGTGCTCTTAACCACTACACCATACTGTCTCCCTGAGGTGCCACTGGGAGAACAAGAGACAAGCCTAATAGGATTTATATTACATAGGACGGTTAATCCAGGTCTGCACAGAGTTATATACTGCCAGTTCAAACATCCTGTGGCTTACCAGCCCAGTTTTTCAAGTCAGGAAACAGAAAGAGAAAATGGTTTTAAGCCACATTACTTACAGTGCTGCGAGAGATTGCTGTTTCCTGGTGTTGTCATTCTTGAGTCTGCTGGGGTTGTAGCTGAAGGAATGCTGGTAGTGCCCAGGAAGACACGTGACGTGGTTCCTTGGGTTTCTGTTCTAATATTGCTGGTGTTGCTGGTTGTAACAAAGATGGTGGTAGTCATGGTTGTCACAACAGCAGTAAAATTGGGCAAGTGGGTTTTAGCAGTAGTAAGAGGAGTAGTAGTAGGTGTGTTACTTGAGGTAGCTGGAAGCTCTGGAAATATAATAATATACATTTGCCTCAAAAGCTACACAACTTAGGTACACAAAAAAGCTATTCAAAAGCTACACAAAATTAATTTTATTAAGAGAGGATATATTGGAATGTTTTATGCTATTTAGATATTGTTATTTATTGTGGAATTTTATTTGTGTAAGCCATCCTGAGGCTTTTGCAAAGGACAGCATACAAATATCATAAATACATGCATGCATGCATGCATACATTCTCCATTTACTCCAGATGTTAGTCTTAACTGGACAAGATAATCCAAAATCTGGGCAAGAAGAATTTACATGATGGCTCCATCTTTAGAATATGTGTGCAATTCTGGACAATGTATTTATTTAGTTATTGTTTACTGAAAAGTTTTAAAAATCTAAAGTTTATAAAAACTTTAGATTTTATTAAAAGCTTATTAAAAAGTTTTAAAACAGAAGAAGCCCCTTTTGCTTCCTTATGATACAGCTGGTTACCCAGGGCATATATCCCATGATTAAATAATCCATTATTTATTAATAATTGGTTGTTTGTGAATATGCAGGAGCAAATGTGTTTTCTGTCACTAAGCATATAGCAGAACTGGAGAATAACATTCTCAATAACATCAAACATCTTATGAAGCTTTATGTCAAGGAACCAATGTTTGAAGTTTCTGACTAAGGGGAAAGGCAAAAAAAAGTATATACTGTCCATTCAGTGTAGAAAGTGCTTATTCAGAGTGTTGCAAAGGGCAGCAGGGTACAACTTCCACTGGACTTGCCCTAAATAGTGCATGAGAAAGTGTACAGAGTGAACAGCAGCTGTCCTTACCTTTATAGCACTTTTTCATATCAGGACCCAACCACAGATTGTCAGGACAAGCACATGTATACTTTGGAGAGTGTGCAGAGATCTGGGGTGCAGGAAGACAAAGGTATTCACAGCCTCCATTTGGCAGAGAACTTTGCTCACAAACATCTGGAGCTATGCACAGGGCGAGAAAATAATAAAGATTATGTTCCTGCTAGAAACTGATTATGAATTCAGCACCATCAAGTCTTTACCAGTGTTGTTTCATTCTCATAGCCTTTGGGATTTTTCTTCCAGGAATCTTATCACTTAGGGACAATTTCAAGGATTCCTATTATCTGGCAAAGTGGTGGCAATATTTTTAATTGTTTTGTTTTAAAATTTAGTAGATGGATTTTCATAATGGGACATACATGCCATCAGAAGGCAATCCTTCTTCAGTTTAAATAAGTTTACTTGGAAGTAAGAGATTGTTTACAAATAAACAGTCCTTCACTACTCTATAGAAAGCTTCATATACCCTACCGCACATGATGAATGAATGCATCAGTTTGGCTGCTTAAGTAGTCTGTGGGAACCCCAATTATTTCCTATGATTCAGTTAATGAGGAATGGTGCTAGTATCAATCTAAAAGATTGGTTTTTTTTAACCCATCTAATTTCTGTGCTTCTAAAAGAACTGTATGAACAGCAGAGGGCACCAGTACAGTAGAGAAAAGTCTAAGAAGCTTATTCTTATAATCTCCTTTTAAAAAGGAATCTGAAAGCACTGTAGGTTTTTTGGGCCTTACAAGTTCATTAGTACTTTCAGAACTTAAACATCCTTGTTATACCATCCTATAGTAGTTTAAAGAACTGGATCTGCTAATCCTAACCTTTCGAGGTCCCATCATAATAATTTCATGGCTTCGCAAATGCAACTGTGCTTGAAAGCCAAAGTCTCCCTCCAAAAAGTTAACTTCTCCCTTCAGCTAGAGAAGCACCCTCCCCCAGCAAAGAGCCAAAGTAGTAGAAAATAGAAAATAATGTAACAAAATAAACAAGATATTGGAGGATTTTCCAACAAGAATACTTTGCTGTGAGTCTTGTAATGCTAGATAGTAGTAGTGGACCATTACCGAACTACCATATATACTGGCATACAAGATGACCCTTGAAACTAGAAACAGCAAGGCAAAAATCAGGGGGTTGTCTTATTTGTCAGGTGAAAATTTTTCATCATACAATAGGATCCCCTTATTTGCAGGCTCCTTCAGGCTCCCCCAGTGGATGTCTGAAACTGCAGAACCCTTTGAAAGTGGAAATACTACAAATATCTCTAGGGAAAACAGCAAATATTTCTATGGATTCTGTTTGGGGACACCATACTCAGCACTAACATGTTTTGTCACTCAGGGGACATGGACTATAGAGATATTCACAGTTCTTTCTAGAGATATTCACAGTTCTTTTCTGGAGATATACCTTGGAGGACCCTTGAAACCAGAAATAGTGAAGCAAAAATTGGGGATCATCTTATATGCTTGGCATATGACAAACACCAGAAAAACGGCCCAAAATATTAACCTTGTCTTACATGTAAGTCACTTTATATGTCAGTATATATGGTGAAAACATGCCTTACCTTTTGGCTGTTTCAGCTCATGAAAGACTATAATATCATGTGGGTTATTGAGGTTCTCAGCCAAAATCGAGATATCTAGACCATTCAGCCTATTGGCACTGAAAATTGCCTCATTTTCTAAGTCAGTCCAGAATACTCTGTCCTGCAAAAGGAGAGCATATCATGTACTTGTGAAAGCCTTTTCAGCATTGCCTTCCTATAGTTCAGTGTCTTATTTTAATAACCAAGTCATACACAATGCTTTCTAGATATGAAAAAGCAAACAAGAGTTCAGTTAACCTTGTATTTCCTGAATATTGGGAGGTATTATAGAGTTCACTGATATCAATGGACTCAATATTTTGAAGGGCCTTACTTTTACCCATCCAAGGTTAAACTCAATTAGCCCTACTCCCAGTACTGGCCAAATAGTTTTGGTACTTAAAGTGGAGCCCAGGTGATGGCCCACACAGCTTTCTCTATGGCCAACCGTTACGGCATCAGTCAGAAAGTTCATCATCAGTCAACTGATGCACAGAAAGTGCAGTAGGCAGAAAGTTCCTGCTTTCTTCCATCACTCCCCAGGACACCACCTAAAACAGGCTACTTCAGCCTGCTGCACTGCTGGGTCATCCCTGCCTCGTCCAACACTTCTTTGAAAGGCAGTAGTTCATCACATGACCCTTCCCACCACACACATATTGAAGGTACATGAGGTGGGGAGGGCTGCAGGGCTAATCCCTCCCATGCTACAGCCCCAGTGGAAAGGTTCTCCTACTGGCTGAGCAGTTCAAAAACACGAGAAAGGGCTTTGCACAAGTGGGTGTAGAGCCCCTTCACAGAAAGGACGCTGGCCTAATTAAGATCCCCCTCTCCATGTACCTCAGTAGGTGTGGAGAGTCCTTTCCTGTGTTGAGCAAACATGGGCAGCGGGGAAGTGTTTTTGCCACTGCAATGGCAACTCAGGACACAGATTAGTCCCACAGATCCTCCATGTTCTTTCAACATGTCTCTATGTGTCTTCCTGCAGAGATTCTGTATCATGGTATTATAACTTTATATATTTGCATTTATTTTTGAAAATCATGAAGAGTGAAGTTCCATGGAAACATTTATGAAAACTTCTGTAAGTGTTCTCAAACTATGTTGAACTCGCTTTTCTGTTATATGCAGGTAGAAGGGCAGCAGAGCAAGAAGGAAGGGGTTTCTCCCATTATCTTTACTCGCCACTGCTTCATGCTTCCTTAATCTGATCTAACTAAGAATCTAACTTTTGTACATACAAACTGCACAGACTGAGTGAACATCTGAGAGTAGATATTGTCTGTCTGCATTGCACTATTTTCAGTGGGGTGAATGTTTGGCTATGCATCCCACTGAAAGCAAGGCAATGCAGGAAGACAGATTCACACAGAGGTGCACATCCTACATGCCTGCAATTCCAGGTCCAGAAAAATGACATGCACACAGAAGTCAACTGAGAGATGGATCAAATTGTGAGCTATCTCAGAATCAAACATTGAACAAGCCCACGTAATAGAAACTTCAGGCTGCTTAGCTCCAGTTGCATTACTAGGAAAAGGAAGAGGAGATGGTGACTTCTTTAGTTGTTGCTTTTGGAGGGCTAAAGGTAAAGTCAGGTCAGTTGGAGTCTATCATTCAAACTCCCATCACCTATTCTCTCATTATTTCTTATTTAAAAAGCAAGAATGGGATGTCTGTATAAACAAGGTTGTTAAGGAAAAGCAATTCAACATCCAAGTTACCCCTAACAGGAAGTCAGACAAGCTCTGCCTACTTGTCATGAAGCCAGCCTGGGCTCTCAGCTGAGTTTCTCTACTTTGGGATCATGATGGCCCATGAAGAGGATTTGAGGGGGTTTATTATAAAGTGCAGCAATCCTTGGTATCCTGGCAAAAATGGCATTCTAGCCCGATTGTCCTTCCTCTTCCAAAGGTGTGACTTCTATTAAATTAGTTTATATGTCAAACAAGCACCAGTCAATTTCTTAGAGAACTGCATAGTTCAGGATGAATGGCAGAAAAATGTGTAGCAAGGAACAGCAAGATGACCTTCCTTTGTTAACCAGCAGGAACAAGCTCACATGCTCACAAATGCTTCTGTGGATTAGGAGAGGCGCAAAGCACCCCCCTGGGGTTTCGTTGTAGAAAGGTGAAGATGCCAGAGAAATGAGTGTGGTGCAGCAGGTAGAGTGCTGGACTGGCTTCTCTAACTGAACATATACTCAAGAATGAATATTTTGGTCTTGTTCAGAAACACAGTCATTCTGGCTTCTGAAATTTTACATTTGGGGAAAGGAAGCAGTAGTTCCAAATGCTGCAAACTGAGCATATTATATGAGGTAAGCAAGCCACATTCTTACATTTACAAACCTTATTAGACCTTGTTTCTACCACAGTGAGAAAAATTTTTGAACACAGATTCTGACATATTAAAGGAAAAGTGGAAAGGCACCAATATCAGAAAAGAAGAAAGGAAGATGTGCAGGTGCACGACAAAAGAAATGCATGATGCCAACAAAGTAATTCTGCAAGGGCACACTTGAACAGCCAGCACCAGTCACAGTTGCTTTATGTTGCAAAAGTATCCTGCGGTCTTCCTTCCCTCCCTCCCCAGTCCTGACAAGGACTCCAGTTCTGAGTAAGGACATTTCTTGAATATGAAACATGGCTTGCACCTAGACAAGTGCCACACCCTACTCAACTGGTCATCTACTAATCTTGGCTAGCATTGGTAGCTCCAGGTTTAGCTCAGTGTTAAGCAATGCTTGGTCCCAACTCCTGGTCTCATACCTCAAACACTGCTAATCCAAATGGATGGCTCAGGTCATCCACAGAAGAGATGAGAACTTTCCTGTTGCTGCCGTTGAAATCAACACTTGAAAGCACGTGCAGCTTAGAGTCTACCCAGTAAAGGCGCTGATTCAATAAATCTGAAGAGCAAACACATAAAGGCAGTATTATATCTACTACCTTTTCCCTTTGTCCCTCTTGTTTTTGTGCTTCTCTTGTGGGTATCACCATCTTGGGAAATCATAAACAATGCATGGAGGACAAGAGTGGCAGGTGGATTATATTGTTGTTGTTACTCATATAAGAGTTCACTGTACTGACTCCCTCATGCCACAGTGTGATGGTGCTTAGACCCATGCACATGTGTGTTGTGTAAATGGATAAGGCAGGCTTGCCCAGCCTGCAGAATCTAAACCACTACAGAGCAATGACGGAATAATGATGGAGCAATGGGGATAGTCTCCGTTCTAATGTGTCCTTTCTCTGCACTTATATGCACAGTCCTTCAGCACCAAGCCAGGCTCCAGGGCCAGGTCCCAAGCAACTGCATGTGAAAGACATGCAAGAGGCCATATTCATAGTTCTTGAACCCTGAACCCCATCTGCATTAATAGTACCAGCAGCACTTGGCACTATTTTTAATTGCCTCTTGCTTGTAGTCTGTGGTGCCAAATGCCATCCTATATGGTTAATATGAGAGGACAAAAGGTATGGTAAGTGGCTATCCATCTACTTGCTCATCTTACCCCACAAACATCTCCTATGCAATTCAGGTAAAGGCCAAATTAGATGACAGAAAGGAGATCTATGAACAGTGTTCTGCCCATCTCTCTTTTTAAATGGAAAAGTAGCTGTGGGTGGCTACAATTTCAGACTGCAGAGGAAGGGAGAGAAGTTGCAAAACTACTTCCTTCTCCACTTTTTTTTTTTTGCTCAAAATCATCTTTCCTTAGTTGTCTTTCTCCCCCTGTACCACCTCCCCCTGCGAAAACTGCTGGAGGTTGCTTGATAGTGTGCTTTTTATTTTTTTTATTATTTTTCTAAAAAAGAGATAAAATACAAATAAAGAAAAAGAATAAGAATACCAAGGGATGTTACACAAATATAGCATATATCAACATCTAGTAAGTTCATGAAAAAGCAAGCATTTCTACCCACAGTTAAGTCAATCAGTTCTTAATTAAGACCTGTAAGCAAATTGACGTAGTTTATCAAACTAATTGTAAACATCTTAACTTTAACATCGAGGTAAAGCTCACTGATAATATTTTTAGGAGTTCCGTTTTCTTGATTATTAATTAAATTGTTTCTTTTGGCAGGTCTTCTATTGGTTAGTTTTGCCATCATTGTATACTCAGCTACTTTATTTTTCCAGTCTTCAGTAGTTGGGCAATCTTCTGCATTCCACTTTGCTGCAATTGTAACTCTTGCCACTGTTATCATATATTTAAATAACTATTCCATGCTTTTTGGAAAAGACTATGGTCTAATACTCAACAGCATATGTTGATTTTAAAGTTTTAATGGAAAAAATATTATTCAGATGCTTCTTTGTACTCACCTACTTTTTGCTTCAAGCCAAAGAATTTATGCCACTTTTAAATTTTAAAAAAGAGGGACAGCCAAGATATTGTTCCCTCATCCCCCACATATTGGCCTTATGAGAAAGTTTCAAAGAAGCTCTGCGCAGAGCACAAATTGCTCAATCAGCAGGAAGAATTCAGGATAAGCTCCATCAGCAAAAGTTGGTATTAGACTGAACGGACTTGCCATGTAGATGACTGGTAAAATTATACATCTGAGACCTGCATAATTATTTATCTCCTTCCTTATTTTTAAAATCTAAGGATGCCAGCATCCATGGAAAGCACTGTTTCTCAGTGGTAAAGCACATTCTGTCCTTGGCATCTACATGCAGGATTAGGAAAGGCTCCTGTCTGAAACCCTCGATAACATTATTGAGCCAAATGGATCGATGATCTGATCTGGTGTAAGGCAGTTTTCTAGGTTTCTTGTTCCTAGGCAATTCTGCAATTGAAAATGACCTGGGCTGCTTCCAGATGAGGCTTTTATGATGCCACTGCCCTGACACACTCATAGATGTTTACAGGAATTCTGGATGTCATCTTCTACTTGTAGATTTCCTGTGTTTTCCCTTCTCTTCTCTTTCCTCAAAACAAATAGTCCATCAAGGAAAAAGAGGTGGAAGAGTAGTGCATTACCTTCTGGCTGCTCATGCTAGAAGCACCCCATTCCCACCTAGAAGTTCCTCAGACCCAGTTCTGCAGCTTACCCAGTGTAATACCATTGGGCCATTCAATGTTGTCTGTCACAAGAACTTGTCGATCCACACCATTCAATCCAGATTTCTCAATTTTGGCTGCATCGCCCCAGTCAGACCAATACATGAATCTATGAGAGAACAGCAGAAAGCAGATAGCACAAGGTCCCATACTAAAAAATGATGCCTTTTGAAGTAAACTATATATAAATTTAAAGTCACAATGCTAATTCTGAGTTGCTGTAGTTTGCTGCTTCCTTGAACTTGCTCAAACCACATGAACACATTAGTACTCTTTAAAGAATCCATATGGCTGGATTCTTTAAAGAGGATTCATTTATTCATTCCTTTGAGGACACTCCCACACCAATGAAGTAATTCTTGTGACTGCCAGTGTCTTGGTTAATCATGATTAATCATGAAGCATAATCTCAACCAACGGCTACCCATTAGTGCTGCAGCTGTGTGATGTTTCCATGACTGATTTGGTATGAATTCATCTAGAAACTAATGCATATAAACACAAATATTCATATAATTTTAGCAGGATGGGAACTAGAGTTTATGAATTCATTGAACTAAATCAAACTGTAATTTGAGTCTTCCAAGTGAAAGAACTGTGGAGATTGGCAGTGGAAGGGGGAACAAAAGGACATCTGACAGGGTTGTCTGCCTGGAATATGGAAGATTCTAAAAATCCATGAACTTCAGTCCCTTGGTACTCATGTAACAATATATAACAATTACCAGCATTATACATTTTAAGATAAAGTCAGTCTAGCAATCAGAGGTTTTTAATGTTGACTTGCTTAATCAAATGGCTTATACAATACATTCTGATTACATTGTACATTACAGTGTGGAGCTGAAAAGAAACAAGGCAGAGTAAGGAATGCGTTCCACAATATAGATTGTTCCCTCCTTCATACCTACCCACGTGTTGGATCCACTGCAATGGCTCTGGGCTCACTTAAATTAGTGCTGAACAGTGTCTTCCTCTTTTTCCCATCAGCTGTGGCTACCGAAATGGTCTTGTTCCCTGAATCTGTCCAGTAGATGTTCTTATGAACCCAATCCATTGCCAGGCCTTCTGGTGAGTTCAGCTGGCTATCTATCAGAACCATCTGCTCAGCTGTGTCACTGGCTTTGTCAATGTAGGCACTGTGGAGGAGACAGCAAAATGGTCACTGTGTCAATGCAGAAGGGAATGTGGTGAGTGTGAGAGAAGAAAAGCAACCTTTATGGAGGGGGAAAAAAAAACAAAATAGTTTGAAAACCATGCATGGAACTGCTGCATCAAAATCTGGATAGGATACTTCTGCAAGAACATATGCCCGCATTCTAATTCCTGCAAGAAGTAATGTCCAAGTTGTCAGGAACAGTAGCCTGTTAACTTGTTGTCCTCATGCAAGTAATAATTGCGTGTGGGGTAAACACTGGAGGAGTTCCTAAAGCCCGCTCATGTGTGAAGGTGGTTTACAACCCAATAATGAAACAAGCTGAGTCTCCCTTGTGTAGCCACGCCTTATTTTGGAGAAGGGGTCGAGAGGGTCAGAGAAGCTGAGAGCGATCTTGTCAGGAGGCCAAACTCTCTTACCAGGGTCACCCATGGCAGAATTGGCAAATGGGACACCAGGATAAGATGCACCAACCCTCCTACAGAGGTGGAAGAGAAAGGTTCTCTCTTATGGTGATGGTGGTGAAGAAACTCCTGAAGAGGAGCTACTGGGCAGAGGTGCTAGTCAACAGTAATACTTGCAGAAGATCTTTCACAGACAATGGCAATAGCTAACTCTTGTTAGTACTATGCAGAAAGCAGCAGTGGTAAACCACTTCTGAATACTGCTTACATTGTAAACCCTCTGATGAAACAATTTGAAATGAAACAAGAGGTAGTGCCAGAAGATGAGACCTCCTGGTCAGAAGGCACTCATTGAGCTACTGCAGAACAGCAAAGGACAAGTACGGATAGTGCTGTCACTAATAACACAACTAGATCAAAGCAGAAAGAAAGACTTGTGGCAGACCTGAACAGAGGGACAAGTCTGATGCTGCACAACACATGGAAGTGGAAGATGGAATGTGGCAAGTATGAATCAAGGCCAACTGGAAACTATAAAGCAAAAAATTGGATGGTTAACCATTACAGTACTTGGTGTGAGTGAACTAAAGTGGACTGGAATTGGACATCTGCACTCAGACAAACACAAGCGTAATTTGCCCTGGGATTGACAAACATGGAAGAAATTGAGTGGTTCTGATACTGAGACAAGATGTAGCACAGGCAGAAATGGGCTATCATGCTAAATCCAACCAAATAAGATAAATCCGAATTTCCAGAAAACCTATCAACAGGATCATTCAAGTCTATGTTCCAACAACAGATGCTGAAGAAGAAATCAAAAAGTCTTATGCAAGCATCCAAGAAGAAATTGCTAAGACACCAAATTCTGTGAAGCCAACCATCTGTTTATTAAACATACATACTCCAGGCAACCAATCAGACAACTAACCAATCATGGACATCAACAGATGGCCAATTTAGAAATCAAATAGACTGTGTAATTGTAAGAAGAAAATGGAGAAAGTGGATTCTCACTGCCCCCCACCAAAAAAAAAAAAAAAAAAAAGACCAGGAGCAGAACAATTAATATCAAAAATAGAGTAAAGCTGAAAAAGAACACTAACAAAAGCATAGTGTCAAAATACAATTTATAGTTGTGCAGGATAGGTGAGAACCAAAGTAAACAGTGACAGAAATAAAAACAGAATCCTGAATGCAACTTTTCAGCAACTCTTATGTAAAGTCTAGAAGAACTATTACAATGGCCAGTATAAAGAAATAGGGGGAAAAAGGAAGAAGAAGAAGATACCTTTTCCAAAGGATTGAAGAAATCAAAGGGAAATTCAAACCCAAATTAAGTATGCTGAAGGACCAATAGGGTAACATACTATCTGACCAGAATAAAATAAAAAGGTGTGAATACATGGAAGAACGACACAAAATAAATAAAAGGTTGATTAGATATCTTTGAAGAGGATCTGTGAGGAAGAACCTGCAGTATTAGAAAGCAAAGTGTCAGCTGCTTGGAAAGCACTTTGGAGGAATAAAGCACTTAGAGAGGCTACCAACAGAATTATTTCAAGCTGCAGAGGCTGATTCTGTCCAAATCCTAACAAAAATATGCCAACAATTTTGGAAAAAATGGGAAAAGTTTGATACATCTTCAAGTTCACAAGAAAGGAGATGCCAAGTGGTGCAGAAATTATAGGACCACCACACTGATTCCCCATGCAAGCAAAGTGATGCTCAAGGTGTTGCAACAAAGAATATTACCATATATGGAGTGAGAAATGCCTAATGTTCAAGCTGGACTCTGAAAAGGAAGAGGCACTCAGTAGTATATTGCAAATATACTACTGGAGTGACCAAAGAATCTCAGAAGATCAATTTATGGTTTATGGACTACAGCAGAGCCTTTGTGCAGCTCACACGAAGCTATGTATGGAAAAGAAAACTGTTAGGACAAGATATGGAGAAACATAATGGTTTCCTATAGGCAAAGATGTCAGATAAGGGTGTATTTTATCTCTCTATCTGTTCAATCTGTACACAAAACATATCATAAGGAAAGATGGATTAACATCAGAGAAAGGAGGAGTGAAAATCGGCAGAAGGTACATCAGTAATTTAAGATATGCAGATGATACCATATTATTGGCAGAAAGCAGCAATGAAATGAAACAGCTCCTGATGAAAGTGAAAGAAGAAGGCACAAAAGAGGAACAATTCAGAACATCACCAAAAATCATGACTGCAGAAAAATGACAGAACTTTAATGTCAACAATGAAAAATTGAAACTGTGGTAGATTTTGCATACCTTTGCTCAATCATCAATTCAAATGGAAGCTGCAGTCAAGAAATTTGAAAAAGGCTGAAGCTTGGAAGGGATGAATGAACTCAAAAAAATTATCAAGTTAAGGACATTTCATTAAACACCATCCCCAGGATCATCCACATTATTGTATTTTTTATCATTTTGTATGGGTGTGACTGCTGTACCATGAAGAAAGCTGAAAGGAAGGGAACTGATTTGTTCAAACATGGTGCTAGAGTAAAGTTTTACAAATACCCTGAACCAAAAGAAAGATGAGCAAATGGCTCAGAGCAAAACTTCCACAGTTGGCAGTCATCGAGAAGTAAACTCTTGACAGTGACAGAAGCTCAGATCCTAAGACTGAAACATATTAGCAGCCAATAAACCCTAGGAGAAGTTAAAATTATTAATATTTTATTATATTAATGTTCTGCTTTTTTTCTTTGCAAAGAACTCCTGGCAGCTTACATATTTTTCCTCCTCTCAATCTTATCCTCACAACAACAGCCCTGTGAGGTAGGTTGGACTGAGAGTCTGTGACTGACCCAAAGTCACCCAGTGAGTTCCACAGCCGAGGGGAAACTAGAACCCAGATAGCTTAAGTCCCAGCTCTGCATTCTTAACCACTACACCACACTGGCTGTCAAGTATTCATGTTCAGATCCCATCTTTGCCTGTTACTTATACCTGCTGCAACTGACTTCCATCTTTCTGCTCACTTTTTCTTTTTTGTAGGGTCCACAAGTCTCATTCAATGTTTAATGTTTGAGTGTAACTAACTGGCCATTGCTTGCAAAATACTTTCTTTTCTCTGACTGGTTAATTTTTGAAGTTACCCTTCCTAAAAACCTGTCTCAGATGATCACCAGAAAGGACAGCATAAGGGACCACTGGTGATGCAGGGGGAGCAATGAAATTCAGATCCAAGTGCAGAAAAGAGATGGTCAGTTTTGCTTGAAGTAGATCGCCCCCAAAGACGCACATTTCAACAAGGGAATTTCTGATGCCCCTGGGTATTGACAGACATGCAATGAAGTTGCCATAATAGGATGTCACAGTCAAGTGACACACTCCCACCTGTATATCTTTCTGTAGAATAAATCACACCAGTATATTCTGTTGGTTGCCACCTCCACATCCAAAGCAACCACATTCTTCAGCATGGGGATAATGCGAGAGTAGTCTCGTTTCACCAAGTCAATCTTGCGTACTTCGTGACGGTTCGTGAAGATGAGGTATGGACTCTTCCCTGCCATGGAACAGAATCCTGCAAGTCACTTTTATTTTTATGCAGCTTAAGGAATAAAACAGCTTTTGGGCCTAGAGTTAGATTTGTTTCTGTATCTTTATTATAAGGGCAAGTCTGAACAAGGAGGAAAATAACAGCTTTGAGATTCTCTGAAGCTGGCTGTAAGAGAAGGAAAGATCTGTACTGGCTGCTTTCATTACCAACACCTCCAAGTCACGTCTTCTATAACCGAGTGTCAATTTACATTTGTCTTTCTAATCTGGAAGACGGAAGAGTCACTTTCCACATATGGGGGAGCGGCATTTAATATTGAGAACAACCCCCAAATAATAAAATTCATCTATTAAAATCCAGGTGTATGGCTTCCCCAACTGGGAAACCATGGAGAGGCAGACTGGGAGGGCCAGATTTGTCTTGTAGGGTTGAGGTTTCTCACTCCAAAACAAGCAAGGAAGATGAGGAGGACTAAATTAACTAGAAGGTTTTATTTTATAACAATTGCTTTATTTTATGTGTATCTACTCAATTCAACTGAATATTTACAAATACTAACTGAAAGACTTACTTTCTGAACTTACCTCTAAACCTCTGATAGGTCAATCATTACACATACTGTGAGAACATCCTCAGTTATATAATCACTGGAATGCTGCCTACCTACTGACTAGCTTTTCAGCTTCTAATTTTGTCTCTCTTTCATTGGAGTCTTTCAGTCCTCAAACATGCTTTGCCTTTCTCAGGACCATGCAGTGTAAAGATGATGGAAAGTGCATTTCAGCATTTTCTTACCTACAGCTTTGCAGTTTTTGGATAGGGTGTCCATCTCATAACCCTCATAGCATTCACATTTATAGTCCCCTTTGTAGTTAATGCAGATTTGGCTGCAAGCATCAGGATTCTCACATTCATCAATGTCTGCAAGAAGAGTTTCAATGGCATCAATAACTTGAAATCAAGGCATCATGACAAGAAGTGAGTCTGGACTGACTGTAATTATGTGCCTCTGTAATTAAAAACAAAGGGCTCTGTTTCCACGCATATTACCTCCACATGTTTTCTTATCCAGAAGTTTATATCCAGGAGGACATTCACAGGCATAGCCAATCTTCAGGTCTCTGCAAATGTGGGAGCAACCGCCATTGTTGAGTGCACATTCATTTATCCCTAGGAGAGAGATAATGATTATTTTGACTAGACAAATGTTCCAACTCCTAAGATTACCAAGTTGTTGGTTTTAAAAGCTAAAGCGGCAAATGTACACAATGATTCCAAGGGATCACTCAAGGTAATTCTTCAGTATAATTGCACCTACACAGAAACATCCAGCAAATCTCTCTCTCTATTCCTAGGAGCAGCAATTTGAATTTTTTTAAAGAGGACCTAATACAGCTTTGACTTACTTTGCTTTTCCTTGGAATAGTGCAAATCTGTATCAGATTTAATTTTTAAAACTTATTTATACACATCTTCTGACTCAGGGAGGCTTGCAATAATTTAAACCACATACAAAGGTATGCTGATGTACAAATAACACAGGTGCCTTTCAAATGTGTATCCTAACTGCATTTATCTAAAGCTGCGGAAAGGTCTAAAGTGACCCAACCAGCTGGGCAGGATCTACTGTCTAGGATTCTCTCCAAGGGATCTGGTCACCCCTTCCATCTGATTCCACTGGAAAATCCATTTAATGGACTCATCTTTTATAGGTACTACCTAAATGGCTCCTACGGGGCTTGCTCAAGAAAAAACAGCCTTCATGCAGGGTGTTTTAAAAGGTACCACTGAAAGATGCAGCCAGCGTTGGCTCGGGGTCAACAACAGCATCACCACAAGCTTATCTTCATCACACCTGCTTGTGACTGAAGACATACACAAACTTCCATCCATGTTTGCCTAGCAAAAGCAAGATCCAAAATCTGTTGTGTATTCCAAGGCAGGGATAGATACTCCTTTGTGGACCATAGGGACGTTTTGCAATTTGAGAAACTGCTCCAGGCACCACCACAAAATGGCTGCCATGGGGACATGTGGCAACAGACAAGTAACCTGTCCAAAAACTCCAAACACAAAGCACAGGAGGGGTCTGAGATGCATACAGGTTGAAATACAGGAGATGAAATAGTTTTCATAGCAATCCCAGCTGCTCCTAAGAAAAATGTGTTAAATTATTATTAGCATTGCCAAGGATAGGATACCTTGGTGTATTGTTGCCTGTGAGCAACACATAGCCTACCTAGATGCTGCTGACTACAACTCCTATCATCCTTCTTCATTGGCTATGCTGGCAAGGGCTGATGGAAGTTGCAGTCCAGCTGCACCTGGAGTGCCACACTTTCCCTAATATTGTCCTATGGGGCTACTTCCCTACTATCATCTTAAGGGGCTACTTCCTAGCACTCCATCAGAGCTGGATGTCCCATGGATGGTGGTGGGTCCCAACCTCCCTCTTTTCTGTGTTACCACAACTCATGGCATGGATATTTCTGTCCCCTGATATACCAATGGACTAAGGGACTACTATCAACCTCTAATCAACAACATATGGGCATGTACACTGTATCCAATCAGCTTTTATAGACAGCTGTGCTCACCAAGAAACAATTGTTTTGCTTTAATTAATGATATTTGATCACTGTTTGAGGGCTGAATGCTGATTCCTTTCCTCTACCTCACCCTTTGTTACTCTTGTATGTTAAAAAATGTGAAAAATGCTGGTCTGGAAGACCAAAGAATGTTCTTTCCACAGGAAAACTCTGGACTCCACCCATATGATCTTATCTATTGCTGGCCAGTACTGACACCTAATGCCCCATGGTTTGTAACCAAAATTAAGAATGTTAATTAAGCTAAGCTATATCATTTATTTCATTTCAAGAGAAATGCGGGAGTATGCATTTCTACACACCTTGCTACTAATAATCTTTTCTAGCCTTGACAACTTGCACGAACAAAGACTGGATCATTTGTTCCCCCACTGGCAGAAGCTGAAATTTAAAAAAATCAATACAGTTTCATCCAGGCGACTTTAAACTGCCATGGGGGTTGAAGGAGGTCATTGCCATGCCCTAAACACCATTTCATTTGTCATAACCTACAGAAAGTGAAGAACAATGTTTTCTTCCTGGTGTGAGATTTATTCTCCAGGTAAATATTGGAATCCTGGGTAAAATCTGCATACCTTGGGATTATATAGCATTCAAAAATCAAACTCAAGAAAAAAAGCTGAAGATGCATTTCCAAAAAATACCTCCTCTTTATGTTCCTGGATGCTTATTTATTGGGTGAGTGAGAAACCTTGGCAGAAAATTTAACAAATGGAAAACACTGCCAACAAGCTCACCAGTTCCGAGAAGATATGCCACAGTCAGAACATTACTGACAGCAGCAAATTTAGAGGCCAGAATAGCTGTCTATATCATGCTGGTGTTTGCTGGCTGCCTTTCATCGTTTGTATTGATCTTGCCTGGATCTGTTCCCTATGCTGGCCATGAGCAAATTAGGCCATATGAATACTGAGACATTACTGAAGGTTGCTGGAACTTGAAGAAGGTCTTCCATATATTAATTGTTACTGTTGTTTACAGTGGGGCTTTGTGGCACAGCATGCCAAGTTGTATAGTATCAGTGTGTGATCAAGCTGGACTAAATGACATTTCTGAAGTGTTATTAAGGACCATGCAACGCAGGAAGCATTACAATGGACCAATAGAGAGGCCTCCCAGGTACAGGGCCCTGTCCCTCAGGAGGAGAGTACAGCTAAGCCTGACAAAAGGGATTCTGGGTGTCAGTGGCCAACCTTGGCATCCAGGCCCTGAGCCCAAAATGAGAGTATCTTCCAAATGTATGCTTGATCCTTTAAAGGTAGAGTGTGACCCAATTCAGAACAAGTAGTACATTCAACTACTAAACAGGAACAACATTCACTATCAACATCTCTGTCTTGTCTGGGCCATAGTTGATTCACTATGTTAATCCAGCCCAACATCGCAGGGAATCCAAAGGCAAGCCTAGGATCCTGTGGCCATCCACATGTACTTGGGCTCCAAATAAAAAACAGCCCCAGTCAGCATGGCCAATAGTCAAGGAGGATGGGAGGTATAGTCCGTCAATACCCAGTGGGCCACAGGTTCATGATCTCTGTGCTATGGTAATCTCAAGAACAGCCTAGTAAGGCAGACTTGCCGTTGCCCAGAAACAGAAAATATGATAAGGAGGTAGAAAACAGGACCAAGAAACAGAAGGGAAATATATACACACATATATATTTTCTTAAATCTGTTCAAACATCTTTTTGAAAATACACTCAAAGGAACAGATGCTCAAGAGCATGCTCATCCGTCTAACAGCTCAGTCTGTTCAGATCAACAAGAATGCCTTTGTTTGGTTTTCTAGAAAAGGGATCTTTGCTGCTCATTGAGGGTTTTTTTACACTTCCTGTCTGAGGTAACACACTATGCACAATTCATGACTGCACAAACAGAAATAAACACATCAACAGAAAATAACCTCTGTTGGTAGATATCATTCAATAAATCTGTTTTGGTTTCTTTACTTCTGCTATTCAAGCTGCTGCTATTTCAAATAAACCCCTAAGTCATGCATAATTGCCTTAATGACACTTGTCCAATGTCTCATCACTCAGTGAGTGCTCTAATGACACAGGATCAGTTCATTTTTATGGGAAAATACCATCCTAGCTGTTTTTTCTTTCAAACTCGCCTTGCTGGGTAAAATCAAAACATAGTAAAGAGGAATTTCACTAGCAATGCATTTTGTATTGTCCCAAGTACACTTACCTGGTGCTGACACTCATAGCCGGCAAACCTCCTTCCCTGATAACATCATACACGATACAAATGTCCATTGATATGCGTGTCTGACTATGTAGCATGTGTGTGTGCCTGCGCGTGCAATGTGTTTGCATAAACCATTCCCTTGTATGTGGTTCCGACGTTGTATGTCACATTATCTGTTGGCCAGAGGGTAGGGCATGTGCCCCCACCCCATCACCTGAATGCGGTTACTATGTGAGTAAATCTGAACTGGCCTGCATATTTTTAAGAACAGAGGGAACATCTACCTTGTGACTGAGTACACAGACTTTAGACACACACAACAGTAACCATCACAACAAAGAAATCATATCAGCAGGAGGCCAGGAGATGAGGAATTTCTGATCCTGTGATAAGATCATCAGCCTTGATTTATTTCCTTGTATAATGAGGCCTTCACATAGAACTATGCAAAACCTGCTATTCAGGGCAGCAGATTCCAGTTCTTTGTACGCCTGTGCAATAGTTATAGAGTCAAGGTGAACAGAAAAACTAATAGGGAGCGGCACTAGCAGTCACATGCTCTGTTCTGACAGGCTTGAACATAATGGGAGGAATTGAAGGAAGAAACAAGAAGAGGAATGTACTGTACCACATGCTTTTAGCGGCTCATCAGACCAGTCCCTGCAGTCCCTGTGTGAATCGCACACCTTGACTTCCTCTATGCACTCTCCACTCTTACACTGAAACTTGCCGGGACTCTCGCACGCCGCTTCTGTTGTGTCAGGCAAGGGAAGGAAAGCAGGTGAAGTTAAGTTAGGCGCATGAAAATGAAGACAGGACATTAAGATGCAAGAGGGTTTAATTTAGAAGAAATGAGATGGAGTTAAGCAACAGATATTTAGTTGCAACATATGACAAGAGATTTGTCAAAGAGTAATGCCTGCTAAAGTTACATGGGTATTCCCCCAAGAAGCCTAATTCTGGAGTGTTCAAAAAGTTCAACAATGAGAAGCAACCAAACAGTGGTGCCAGAAGGTGGGCGAGATGCCACCGCTTGCATCCCAGTTGCTTTGAACCATGGTTTCTGTCACACCCTCCCAGGGAACTGATCATACCTACCATTGACACAGCCGGCTTCATCACTATTGTCGGGGCAGTCATGCACCTTGTTGCACTGTTTGGCTCCATGGATGCAGGTCCCATCGCCACACTGGAACTCGTCAGGTCTGCAGGTCACCAAGGCTTGAAAAGAGAAGAATGAAAGAGAACACTGTGACCATTACATGTTTTGCTATTTCGAACAGATGTGCTACAGGATACGGCACTTAATTCTGAAAAGTGTGCTACAGTGTTTCTTCCTTGGCGAGGAGGGCAATGGTGCTGCATAGAAATTGTGGGGTTGCAGTCCAATATATCAGGAAGGTGCCAAGTTGAGAAAGGCCATTGTATAATTTCGGGTAGGCCCGGTTGATAACAACTTTCCCTGTTGTGTAGATAGCCTTTTGCATTCTGGCTTTCTCCCACCCCTTTCATTCTGGGTCTTTTACTCAGCAGGATTCATTGTAGCTGTGAGTTTTAATCTTGTCAGTACAAAAAGAGAAAAATTTAGAGGGTACAAAGACAGCACCTTCAGAACTGAATGTCAAAGCTTACTATTGCAGCATCCCTGAATAAATGTATCTGAAAGCATTCACTTGACTGCTTTCCCCATGGGGAACCAGGTCCCCATTCTAAATGACAGAAAATCATTACCATTGAGTAGCTGGAACACTGAGACACAGACACTAATTTATGTGATCCCAGAGCCTTATGGCAGACTCTCCTTGGCAATTTTACGAAGTGTCCCTAAGACCAGAAATGATGGGTCTTCAGTACCCTGGAATTATCAAGGCAGCAACAAGAACTAACCCAGCAGGTACCATAGGGCATGGTGACTCGATATGGTGCAAATGCAGACTATCATGTGGGACAAACCCACTACAGAAATGCAGGCTCAGTATACTGAGCAAAGCTGGGCCCCGCAGAATGGCTGCACATGCTGTGTTCCCCATATTTGTCAGAGTCCCCCAAAGTACCACATACACAAATCTGTGTTTGCAGATTACTTTACATGTTGAAAAGCAAATATGTGAGTGCACTGAGGCTGCCGCTCCATGCTGCACTGTTCCCATGGGGAGGTGTTTTGAGATACAATATGAGTACAAAGGAGTAGAACAAACGGAAGTTGCAATAAGAAAAGTTGTTCTGAATGTCTCTCATATTTTCTTTCCAAAGGCAACTAATTTGAGGAATCACTATTTTAACATTGCATTTCAGGCAGGAGCAGTCTACCTCAACTTAAATAATCAACCATTGTTAAAGTTAATGGGACTAAACTAATTTAATAAAAAAATCAGCAGTATATATATTTCAGAATCTGCCATTGTGGGTTCCAATCAGCCATGGAACACATCCTGCTCTTATCTGTCCATGAGAGCCCACTGACACAATATCAACATAAACAACCCATTTAGCTTGTTCCTGTGAGGCTATTAACATGGACTGAACATGTGCGATGAATCTTCGTTAGCACTTGGGCATCATGCAGAATAGTTGATCCACTAACAGAATCATTGCAAGCAAGTAACAATTAAATGGTTATATTCAATGGGTAGTGTTCAATATTAGTCTAATGTAAGAACCATAAGTCTTCTATAAGTGGAAAATGGGAAGACAAAAACATTTTTCCTCAATGATTTCTGTTACAACCAGGGCTTTTTTTGTCATAGAACGCACCGGAATGGCGTTCCAACACCTTTTTTTCCAATGGATTTTACGAAGTGATTTTGAACAGTGTAGCAGGTCAGCAGCAAACATCATTAACATAGTGCCTGCTGTATCTGATAGTGAGATAGTGAGGGCGCTGCTTGGCTTGGGACGTTGCTTCGCTGCTCGGCTTGGAATTGGTGTGTGTGGTCGCGTGCTGAGTGCTTACTGCCAGTGGTGACATGAGTTCTGGCACTTTTTTTTTTTTTTTACAAAAAAAAGCACTGGTTATAACTAAATGTGGACTATGGCCCAGAAGAAAAGCTAAATAACCGAGAGCTGGACAAACTCAAAAAATGATCATTATACTACTGACAATTTTCTCAAATCTAATACAGTTTTATCAGTAATATTAACAAAGATGACAATGCAATAAGATCGCTATGGAAAGACACTTTGAGATAGTTTAATAATCCCTAGTCCAATAAGCACTCTGAAGCTTCCCATAATGCAACCCAACTGAATGTACTTGGCTGTTTACTTTTGTGTTATTAGTTTATTAAGTTATATGCTGTTGATTGTTCATTACTTAATGTATTGAATGAAATTTAACACAGATACACTTCCATAGAGAGGGAGGGCAGCATCACAACAGGCTAACCCAGCCTATAAGAAATGCCCAACAAATGCTTAGGCTCAGCATGTGTTGTTCTCTGCTTTCTTCCCCCTTGGTCCCCAAGCTGGTATCTCAGAATCCTTCACAGCATAATCCATCTCATCTTGCCTTCCCCATTCCAATAAGTACCCCTATTCATTTACTACTGTTTCCCCCCCAGACCCTCAAAAATGAGTAATTTGGCTATATCAAGAGGGGTTTTTTTGTCCCAGAAAATGGTGCAGTTGTGTAATTTTTGCTGACATTGGTCAATAATGGAGGTGTGTCAGTGCACATTTACAGCTGTCAGATAAATGAAATCGTGCCTACTTGATGTCCTTGTAAAGTTTCAGCTATCAAAGGGAACAAAATACAGTTTGTAATATAAATGGAAATTGGAGAGACAGAATACCCTTGCACAGTTGCTGAGCTGTCAATTGAAAATCAGTGGTAATGGGGTAAAAAGTAAATGTGTGTGTGAGAGAGAGAGGTAAGATCTTTCTCTTAATAATGTAATCCTTTGGATGATTTTAAGCATTTAACTGACAGTTCTCAGGGTCCTCCACATTTTTTTACATTCGTCTGGGTTTTTAGCTACTCCAGAAAGGGTGCATATTCACTTCTCCATCCTCTTTGGAGCACTTAATGCTGTGGTTATTGCAATTCTCTACCAGGTCTAAAAAGTTATGAAATGGTTATGGTTATGAATTTGTAAGTCCTACTGGTGGTGATATCCCATTTGCTTCACTCTCTGATGGTTGGTTTGTTTTTAAACTGTATGTCAAATTAGCATTTTTCTTACTAGGAAAGATATGCAAATCTCATGACTGAGAAGTAAATGGAGGGGGAAAATTTATTTCCCAGTCAAGAAATCTGCAGACATTTTCCATTCTGACATTTTGTGCATTTTGAAGGGGCTATCACTACCATTTTGTACAAGCCCGAAGAAAGAGGTTTACATGAAGAGGGAAAGAAAAGAAGCCATGGTGACTTATTTTCCCTGCTCTGTTTGTGCAAGCTGTGTGCCTACTCACTTCCATAATTCCCTGCACAGCTGCAGGTTGCTATGTCATTTGAACTGGGTAAGGGTTGCACTGGGAGGCCTCCAAATTTGCCTGTAACCCATGGCTTGTTCTAAGGCTCTGGAGTGGTTTAGAAGCTACTCATGTTGGGTTCAAATGATACAACAACATGTACTCTTGGATTATGGAAACAAGGTTCTGCATGACTGGCATGTGCTTCTTTTCCCTCACCACTTGCCCAAACCCCAGTCAGAGAGTCATAGGAAAAATGTGAAAGTACGTGTGGAAGGATGGGATACTGCAGGGTAATTCTGCATTCCTTGATCAACAAGGAATGCAAGTGCTGAGGATTCAGTAATTATCTATCCCTTGTGCTTTATCAACCACATAAACCCACCTAGTAGACTGCTCACTCCTTTAGTTACCAGCTGGTAAAAGACACCATATGGAGGCATCTGGAGCAATTAGTCCAAAGTTGCGCATGCAAGTTTGTAGCACAAATGGGAACTGTTAAAAGTGCACCTGGATGGGGTTGCTTGCAGAGACTCACTGCACACATCTGACTTCCTGCAAGCCCATGCTGCCCATATGCAATCTATGCTGAAGTGCCTGCCCACCTCTTCCATAGACGCACTCAGCAATCTTGTAGTACATTATATGCTATTTCATGTATTTAAAGCAAAACCTTTAAGCACCTTCTGTATATATCATTCAGTATCCCTTAAGAAGTCAAGGGATATATACAGTTGCCTTATCCTGAGTCTTTTCAGGACAGCACTGTCTGCCTTAATCAGGGATTATTCTCTAGTACTCGTAGCAAACTTTCTTTCAGCCTCATCACCTCTGATTATTTAGCAGGTGATGTCAGGAATGGAACTCAGCATCATTCTGCATGCTAAACGGTTTTAGTACCACAACTCATTCTGAAGCATTTGAACTCATATTTAAGGTACCTATATAGAATCAAGAAATATCAGCCACCAAGGATGGGTTTATTTATGCAAATCTCTCTTTGTCTATCTGCCAAAGCATTTTCACTTGTTGTCGTCCCTAAAACTTAATGCACTTCCATTCTTCCAAAACACTTATGACAATGAGTGATAGATGCTGGCCTTGCTACAAATGCTGGCCTTGCTACTGACATTCTTCTATTATGTATAATGCATAGAAGTGAAGAAACAAAAATGGATTTGGGGATGTTAATATATTAAGTTTTGTAGCAAAACTGAGGACAGGTCTAATGTTTGCTGAGACAAAATCTGTCAGCATTTTTTTCTCCAAGAATAAACATGCAAGAAGAATTTCAGATTTTGCTTGCTAAAATGTTTTAAGAGAATGTATTCCATCATGGTTATTACTCTGCAGATAAAAAGCAAAAAGACCACTGTGGCCCAGTTCGGATAGTTTGTTGAACCATGATTACCTGAATTAATTATGAGCTACATGTCCACACAGTCCTTCCCTTCCAACTCAATTCTTCGTAGCTTGTTAAACCACAGTTTACTATGATATCTGAACTTAAAGACTCTGGTTTGAGCATTCTCTGTAAAACAGGATTGTATAATGCTTTGATATCCTTCTTTCTAGGGAGCACTAAAACCACAATTTCTCAGACAGATATCACAGAAAATGGTGGTATAACAATTCTGGAAAAATGCAATTAAGGCAAGCAAGTGGAGGGAGCAGAGAAAGCAAGTGAGGAGGGAATGTGGGAGCACATGGCTCATTCTCAAGCCCATGTCAAAATTAGCCTTTATTATGTTTGCCTTCAAGCCATCAAAATGTCCCATGGTGGATAAGACATAATTTAGCATACGTGTAGCTTTTTCTGAACACCTAATTTAAAACCAAAATGCATAGGAAGTTTTAAAAAATCCTAGATCGTTCACTCTGGGTCCCTTGCCACTACATGCAGGTTCATCTTCAGAGCTGGGAAGGAAGAAAAGATGGCAGCTTCTGGCATAAGCAATATTAATTAATTAATTAAAACATTTCTATGCTGCCCCATTCGCCGAAGCCTCGGGGCGGCTCACAACATAAAATTAAAACAAATTAACAATATAAAATAAGTCACCCTGGCCAGATAAAATAAGCAAATAATATTACCAATTAAAATAACGTTTAAATAAATAGGTCTTCGCCTGGCGCCGAAAAACAAATAACGACGGCGCCAGACGGACCTCTCTGGGGAGCGCATTCCATAGATTGGGCACCACTGCAGAGAAAGCCCTCCTCCGAGTAGTAAGACAAGTAAGACAATAGTAAGACAAGTCTCTGAATTTGCCTGATTCACATGTTGTTTAACAATTCTCCATAATTTTGCATGAAAATTGCAAGAAGCTAAATAGACTCAGTCATCACAAGTGAGAACTGCCCACAGATGGCTGTTATCAGCCACCCTGATTACACATACTGTAGTATAAATACTTCATTTCATTTCTGTGTCATGATAATGAATATTTCAGGGAAACATTTTCTCCATTTCCTTCTCTCTCTCTCAGACTGGGTGGATGAGCAGCTTAAGTTATTTAGCACCTGAAAAATGGATGAGACATCCCTGAACATTGCAGCAATGTGTGAAAGAGCACAAGGGTAACCAGAGAGAAATCCATTATTCAATAACTGAAGGCCTTTAACATCTTGACTACTTACACAACAGGACCTTCAATTTTTAATATTTTTAAACATTTTTATCAATCAAAGCTTCTCAAACTGCAGTATACTGAGCATGCTTTCTACAGATGGAATTAAAGTGAATTAGCTAGCTGGCCCAATTAAGCAATTACTCACTAGCCAATTACAGAGATAAAAACAACCAGCACATGCTTTAGTTAGACCTGTAGCTCTTGAGCTCAATTTGCACCATCAAATTTTCGTTGTCACAAAGTTGTAGTTTTGGAGTTTTGCTTTGTTTTTCTCCCCTTTGGTTCAGCCATTCTAAATGTTTCCACTGTACCAGCTTCCTGATTATCTTGGATGATTCGCAGCTAGCCATATAACAGCCTAATGCACCAGCAATAACCTCTCCTGGCCTTACTAAGAACGTTGCCTCATTTGCAGTGCACTTGGGACGGAATTCTAAATGCTAGTCAGTGCCCTGCAGATACTCACGGCAGTCTTGCTCATCAGACTTGTCTTTGCAGTCTTCATCTCCATCACACTTCCAATTGAGATGAATGCATTCTCCGTTGCCACACCGGAACTCATGAGCTGCACAGGTGCTCATGACCTGTGGCTTGAGTTTGTAGCCACACTTCTCCATTGACTCATCTGAATGGTCCTCACAATCAGGCTGGCTGTCACAGACCCAGATCTGCGGGATGCACAAGCTGTTGTTGCACTGGAACTCATTGGGGTTGCAAGTGAGGGGAGGGCACTTCCTCTCATCACTGCCATCTCCACAGTCATCGTCTCCATCACAGACGAAGATTGTAGCTATGCAGGTCTTGTTACTGCACTGGAACTCGCTAGAAGAACAGACTTTAGAGAAAAAGATGGGTTAGCTCAGATGGGTTCACCCGTGCATTTGCATTACTTTTACGTACATATGTACACTTGTCATTATTGTACTTTCTCTTTTATATGTCAGGTTCACCTCTGCCATCTTCACCTGCATCCACTGCTTCCAAGGACACAGCAGCGTATCTCCTTTTCAAGGACTGTATGGGTCTTCACTGTGCATATGATATTTGCACCTAGCTTGGGTTTGTTCCAACCACTTTCCTTTATGTCAGGGGTCTCAAACTCGCAGCCCGCGGGCCAATTGCCGGGAGGGGCGGGGCACGGGGGAGGGGCCCTGGGGCCTTCAAAGTGCCGGCGGTGCCCGGGCCGGCCACGGGATGAGCGGCCCACCACCACTGCAGTGGTGGAACACTTGATGCGGCCCAGCCTCACCCAGACTCTACTTCCTGCGGCCCCCAGGTAAGTTGAGTTTGAGACCCCTGCTTTACGTGATCCACAGTAACAACTGCAGAAAAAGTGGATGTATAGCTTGCATGGACCAGCCTTTACCACTGAAACTCAAAGCACCCACTGTATATAGCTCCTCAAACCCTACAATTTCCTTAGCATGCTTCCTCTTCCCGATATATGGATCATAACTCCTCATTTCTACCTCTTGCTCTGATTAGGAAAAGCTGCTGGTTCATAAGTATGGGGTTGGTATCAATAATTATTTGCTTTTTAAACATTTTATGGAAAAATAAAATGGTTGTTTAGTTTCAATCTTTGTTAGTGAGCTAATTTCCCTCTGCTTTCTCAAACAACAGCACAAGATCTGCCATGCATGTGCCACACCTCTGCAAAAGTTTTGAAGCAAAGCAGATTCTAATGATGCCACCAAATGGATAAAGGGCATTTCTAGTGCCCTTGTTTCACTGTTTCTGCTTCTAGCAGTGCTGCTACCTGCAAACCCAACAGGGACCCTTGGAGGACCAGTGAGGTTCCTGCCATCCTTATGTTCACAAGAGTGCACAGGGATTTCATGGGGATGAAGGAGAGGTAATTTCAGTTTTGCATTATAAAATCAAATTGGGAGCTCAAGAAGTTGCCATTGAAATGTGTCTGAAGCTGCATCTTCCTGTACTTTTTCAAGAGGGGAAGAATACCCCTGGCTTATTTGCTCACATTAATTCATTGAAATGTATGCAAATTTTATAATGCCTGTCATCTAGTGTTGAGACTAAGAAAAAGGGGCCAGATGGTCAAAAATCTCTTTCAAGCCTGAAAGCAGCCAGGTGGCAAATCTAACTAGAGGAGTCCAAGAATTGTGGGTCAATGAAATAGTAAAGAGGGAAACACTGTGTAAATCCAGAGGAAAATAACAGCAAAGTACTGCATATAAAGACTGAAAGTAATGATACAACCAAATGGAGAAGGGCAGAAATGCCAATGCTCCAGTTAAAGACAGGGTGGAATGGATCAACAACTGATGTGCATTGCAATCCCTTGCAGACCTACTGGGCTATTTGGTTCCTCGTGACTCCTGAGTTCATTCTCTGTAAGATTTCAGAATATCATGTGTCTTGTTTTGAACATATTAAGAAGGACACACAGAGCAAAACTTCAGTGAAGTATGCAGGGATTTTGCTTCTGAGTTGCACTAAGCCCCTTTGCAACACACTGAAAATTTCTCTGGGAGTCACCATGTGGCATTTGCATACAAATGAGGCTTTTCTGAGCTACAAACTTGGGCTGGATTCTTTCCCCCTCCCTCCATCTCTGTATGCATGACTTAGAGCTGAGCCAGAGGAAGCAATTCAAATGAAAACTTCCAGGTGTCTTAACTACAAGCAATTAATGGACACTTTGCTTAGCAAAAGAAAATCCATCCCCCACACCAAGAGCTCCCACAGAATACACTTAATTGTGTGTAATTTGCTTGGTTATGAAGGGGGGAAAGAGCCCATTTCAGTAATTGCAAAAATCCATTAGATCTCCTACAAATTATGCAAAACAAAATATCTGCGTTGGAAAATAATGGTACAAACATTAATGGTACAAACAAGGAGAATTTCATTATCAAGAGATGAAGTAGATATTGCTTCCTTTGCACTGCTTTGTGATGTAAGGTATTTTTTTTCCAGTAGCTGTGATAGTGGCAAGTATAGGGAAAGGTGATGGAGGGATTAGGTTGGAAGAGATAATTTAAAGAAAAATGGTCTATTGCTTGCTTATGTCAAGGTGTCTAATTAGATTTCCATCCTAATCCCAGATCTCTTTGCTTAGTGGTGCTTACAATGTTGGGAAGCAAGGTCAAAGACTATATAATGCAGCATCTCACCCTGTTATGATCTGCTGGATTATCCCTAGCCTGTCCCTGCTGGAAGAGAACCAGCTGGGGGAAAAGATGGCTCAAAACAGTGTATTGTAGCAAGGTAAGAAGGGCCTTGTTCCATTCTCTGTGCATTCATTTTGATGCATGAAGTTACTCCCCCAACTCCCCACTTTACACCCACACTTTATAGGGAATAGTGTGGATTTTTTTTAAGCAAGCACAGATTTGGTTTGGCCCTCCGCTCAAGTAATCATTCAATTAATCATTTGAAAACAGCTTGGAATTTTATTTCCCTCAGCAGTTCCAAGAACTCTTATTTGTGAACTCTTCTGCCATACAACACCTTACTATGGGTTAATTTTTAATGTGATTCTGTGATGAATGGATCAAGCTGAGTTTCAAACAAGTTAAAGAGGCTCTGATACACTCCTATCACTTCTGTTGTCTTGTGGAATAAGTCTGAAAATAACACCATTGCCAGAAGACTTGCACCAATTATTCATGAGTGGAGTGAAAACACTTTTGAAGAGCCAGAACTTGGCTGCTCTGGTAGGTTTCATTGTATTTTTGAAGTGGAAATCTGAGCTATTTTGGAATTTGATTAGGCATCCCATGGTTGAGACCCTTGGGAGTCACAGTCTTAAACAAGCTCCTGTGAAATGGCTTCAGCTTTTAAATTCCATAAACAAGCTACCTTTGGATACGTAGCCCTGAATTTACCTACATATAAGTTCAGGAAAAGTATTTGAGATAATTTTCTTTCCCAGCCTTCTGGTCCACATTTCAAGCTTCCAGAAAATTTCAGAAATGTATAGCCTTGCAAAACATAATGCATCTTAAGGAGTCTTAGCTAATATTTCCTGGCAGACCGGGAGTTACCATCTCTCTCACATTCCAAACATCCAACTATGAACTGTCACTTGATAAAATGCATCTTGCTTAATGGCTTAAGTGCAGCCCACTTGGATCACTAGCCCCATTACTCTATCAGGTAATAATTCATGAACACAAGCGGTTCTGACCAGTCCAAAGCATGTTGATCAATGTAAAATATGCAGTGGCTACACACTGCTAATGTACTACTACAGGTTGCCTAGGGGGAAAAAGACTTTACAGCATTCATTTGAAGAAACTGCAAATCAATGAGCAGTTTACATAAGCCTTTACTTCCCCACCTAGCCCTTCCTATTTGGTGGAACTGAAACACACTGTGAATTTATTTCCAGTTTTGGAAACTAATGAACATTTTTCTTATTTCATTAGCTTCTCTCCACCCATTCTTTGTGTATACCTTTTGTTTCTGTTTTGAAATCTGCAAAATATGCAAATCAAAGGATTCCACACGTATGCATGAAAACAGCCCTTCACCAGAAAATGATACAAATTAATACAATAGTTCTTTGTCATCTCCTCTGTACTTACACATGTACCTACATACTTCCCCATCAAAGGCCATCTCAACTAGTTAACAAATGTAGCGTTAAATGATCATGAATGAGATATGCTGCCTTTGGCACAAGCCATCTGTTTACATCCTTTGATTTTGCTATCTATTATATTATGAACTCCTTAGTTTGTAAGCAAGGGGAAACATATTGATTTACTTTATATTAAAAAAGCTTCCAAATACAAGAAAGTGAGGTAATTGAACAGCAGAAACCACTTTAAAATGTAAAGAGCTCTCAAAAGAAATCTTTACAATTCTGGATAGCATAATTTCCTCTTTAAAATGTGGAGGGCAGAAGCAGAGAGAAAGGATGAGTTATCTATTCATATATAGACTACTACAACCACTTTTGCCAAATTTGTTCACCAGAAATCATGCAGTTAGAGTAAATTTTGCACGATACATTCACTTTTCTATGTACACATGTGTGTGCACACACGTGAGTAAGAGAATGAGAATATGATGGGAGACCAATAGGTATGCAAGTGCAACCTAATGTCCTTAGCATTCTTACCCTTAAAACTGTCAACTTCTGCATAAATGCTCTGACTGGCTGACTAAATGCTGTTATGGAAAGATCAACCAGAAAGGAGAAGGATCATGCCACAGCTGTTTAAGAACTGGTGCAAGAAACCTTGGGGCTCAAGGGTCAGGAGGTCCAACCACTATCCCTGCAGCACAGCAAGTAAGACAAACAAAATGACCTACATTGACACATTTACCATCCTTTGCTAAAGGACTGGCTCACAGGGCTGCACTGGGTGTCACCAGGGGGCTTGGATTATGATTATGTAACACGGGAGTCTGCTGTGGGGGTTACTGATGCAGGAGGAGCCTGAAGCCTCCTCAACCCCACCTACAGGAACACCATTCATGCCATTGGTGGTGATGGCAGCTGTGGGAACAGGGGGATACACAGCTCAGGGCCTCACGTGGCCTGGGCCATGGGCTGCGTGTTAATGGCACCCACAGCTAGCAGTTGACGTGTCTGTACCCCTGCATCATGGTAGTTATCCCCCAAAATTCAGTTGGCTTTCTAGAGGTGGGAAAGGTTTAGGGAGTTTAGAGAAAGTTTTACAAGGATTACATAACATAAGCTGCTTACATTTCTGTTTTTGTAGACTAACTGCAGTTAATTTACCAATTAATTACTAACTAAATCAACCCAGATTTTTTCATGCTGTTTGATAAAGGTAATAGCTTTTCCACACAAAATTAGGGGAATTCACAAAATCACATGTGTATTATTGTGAAAAC